TTTGATTTATTTACCTATGTCTTGGTTACAAGAGCAGTATCCAGAATAACATTATGTCTAGAAAGTGGGGAAATGAAGGCATGGCCTGATTAGGATTATACAGCCTAAACTCAGCCCAAAATAAGATAGTACTTTGTTTAATTTCTTCATGGAATGCAAAGCTCCTCGTTAACCTTCAAAAAAACCCCACAGTTATCTTTCAGAATAAATATGTATTAATTTGCACTGTTTAAGTTAGACATAGTAAACTGAGTGGTAAGATCAGATCAGAAATCATGTCTACCATTAAAAAATAACAAGTATGTCAGGAAGTTTTAAAAATATTCTCTCAAATGTTCAGAAGAATGTACAGAAAGCTTCAGGTAGACCTTCCCCAGCTGGCCCCGCCCTTTGTGCTGTAAAACTGGGTAAGACTCTCCTGCCTAGTGTTTAATCCTTGTGCTTGCTTTTATTGACCCCAAATATTTCTCATCGTGGCTGAAGGTACTTGCTCTTTACACTCTGGGATTCTATGACAGATAGAGGGAGTCATGTTTCATATTAATTATGTCTCAAGAAGTCAGGGAGCATTTCTATGCCCTTAGTTTCTGTTTCTTTCCTTCAACTCATTCAAGAAACCTGTTCTCGTGTAAAATAAGAGACACACACACTTATTCTACTTAACTTCACAAGGACAAACGAGAAAAGGGTCACGGCAAGTAGGGTGAAACGGCAAAGTGCCGGATAAACAATGTAATCCTAGGTCAGACTGCACCAAGTTCATTTACAACATGCCTTATGAGACGAGGAAACTTTAAATTCTAACTTTCTGTTTTTGCATGATGCCCATGTTTTAGTAAGTAACGTGCATATATACACCCTGGAAGGACAGTGAGGTATGAAACTTCCACTACTTAAGCGGCATGAAAGGCAAACAGAAATCAATCTGAAAAAAACCCACGACCTTAACTGGTTTTATCTGAGATACTGGAAAATTTGTGAAAGGAAGAGAGAATTTCCATGAGCACAGTTGTAAATGAATACAGCTAGATATAAATATTCCATTTAGGCTTTTGATGAGTGTTCATACCTCATTTTAAAGTGTCTTTCTGTTTACAGTATGGGAAAAAAAGGAATCTTCAACAATGATGAGAAAACAAACAAAAAAATGATTTCACATACCAGTATAAATAATTAGCCAGTGTTGAGTTTTTGCAGGCTCTTGATATCAAGAAGGTACAAAGATCTTGCTGAAAGAATTAAAAGAAATATATATATAATATTACCATCTGCTATTAATAAGGGAGGAATAAGAGAGGCTACATTTGCCCGTCAGTTTTCATCTATACATCTATGTCACAGATAAGGTTTTCATCATCTGTCTATCCCCCTATCCCACCATCCAATATTTATTGTAAACCAGGCAAGGATGTGAGAGGCCAGGGATGCCATGGTTCACAGAGTACCTTGTCCTACTGGAAGCCCAACATTTGGTGGAGGAGAGAGACACAGTTGGGGAAATAACTCAGATCATAAGGTCAGAAAAGGAAGGAATGAGGATGTGATATTTAGACAAGGCCAAAATGACAGGATGTACAAAGGCCCTGAATCTGACTGTTTAAGGAATTTTTAAAAGGCCCAATGTAGTGAATTACACTAAACACTAAAGTAAAGGAGGCTGAAAAGGTAGGCAAAGCCCAAATTGTGTAAAATCTTTAAGGTCACAGTCTTGAGTATGGATTTCATCTTCAAAGCAATCGATACTCAACAAAAGATCTTAGGCAGGAGTAAGATGATCTGATTTACATTTTCTGAAAATGACTGAAACTACTCTGAGAACTACAGACCTGAGATCAACTTTTACAGCAGAAAAGTGGAGATGGAAAGAAACAGATTGTTAAAATATTTTGGAAGAACAATTAATACGATTTGCTGCTGATGGAGAGGAAGTAGGAAGGAAAAGAAGAAACTGACAGTATCTTCCACTTGTATGGATTTAGCAAATGGGTTGATTTGTTACATCACAGATGGAAAATTGCAAGTTGAGGGACGGGCTAGAGTGCGGGGAGAGAGAGCTGTATTTTGAAATACTAAGTTTGAAATGCCTGTCAGATATACAACGGAGATCAAGTAGGTATTTGGATACATGAATCTAAAACTCAGATGAGAGAAATGTGCTAGAAATATAAATTTGAGTTTATCAGCACAGCCTAGGGCAAGAGTATAAATTGAAAAGAGAAGAGGACCCGGAGGAGCAGTAAGACGTCAAGCAGCAGAGAAAGTGCTGACAAAGGCAACCAGAAGGAACAGGCAGAGAGGTGAAGAGGAAAACAGGGGATGCGGGGCATCAGCCAAACCATGAAAAGAGCTGGTTTTTCAAGAAGGGAGTCATTTACTTTGTTGAATAACACTGGGAGGAACGGAAACGTCTGTGCAACCATGAATATTAAAGTCATTTACCACTTCAGCGAAGTAAATTTTAATATAATGATGGGACGCAAAGGCCGGAATGATGTGAATTAAAGACTGGAAAGAAAGGGAGTTAGAACAACTCCTTTGAGAAGTTTGATCATGAAGTGAAGTAAAATAAGGTGCTGTTTTGAGGGATGTGGTGTCAAGGGAGAATTTGTTTCGTTTTGTTTTATTTTGCTTTCATTTCTGAATTCTGAAAACGGGAGATGGTAATACATACCTGAATATTTCTACCAGGAAAAGAAGAGTGTATATCTTTTAAGGGAGTTGTATTTCTTCTGTGTAAGAAAACAGAAGTAAAGGACGGGGAAGGATTCACGTCTGTAAATCTAGTGATGGAAAATTGAGACCATTCTTACCTAGTGGCTTCTATTGTTTCCATTAAGTATGAGGCCGAGTTGCAATCTGGAGACTGGGAGGCAGGGCATGGACAGAGTAGATAAGGTATAAGAGAGTCACAGCTGAGCAGGGAGAACAATCCTTCTAGAGAAATGCAGGTGGCAGACGGCGCCGAGTGCGCACCTAACGTTTGTGATCATGAATGTACAGAGATACTGACATGCTAGGTTATGTCCTTTTCTTCAGCAATATTCAGGCACAGAGAAATCAGGTAATTCATTAGGCTTATCAAGGGTTGATGATTTTGCCAAGGGAACTGAAATGCCTAATAAGAGAATGATTAAAATGATGAGCCATGGATAAAAGCTGTATTTGGAGGAAGGCAAATATTGGAGAAGGCTGATAAAGAAAGGAAAGGGTAGAGATCAATGGATTAGAAGTTTCAACGCAGTCGGAGTACTTAAAAAGCAAGCCATAACAGTAAGAGGTTGTTATCACAAAGCAGACATGTCAGTGTTTTCAGAGGTGGTAAGAATCTCATCTCCAATTTTAGAGCTAAAAGCTTTGCACTGCATTTTAAATGTGCAACTTTTAGAAAACCTAATAATGTAACACCTCAATCAGGAGGCCATAATATAAGGCTGAATCCGTGAGTCTAACAGGCAGAATCCAGGCATGCAGTTTATCTTTGACTACATGAGGACATTTATACTTTATAAAAGTATGTAATAGTGATGGATATATTTAAACAGAGACACATGTTTCATTTTTATTAAGAAATTATTTACCAAGCATAAAAAGGGAAGAAAAAACTGGGCAAAAAGAAAATCCCATACTGCAGGTCAGAGAACAAGAAATGGTGAATAAGGATCCATGTAAGTACCTCTAAATACTCACCAATTACATAATACAATAACAATATTACCTAATTTGAAGGTTAAATAAGATAAACATGCATCATAAATCAGGTTATTTAATAAAGTTGTAGTATTTAGTGTATTCATCGAAATCAATGTTTTCAAGACCAACATAAAATGTTTATCTGGTAGGATCTCTCCTATAGGAAACCTGACAAGCTTGGTACTCACCTCCAGATTTTCACCATCTGAACTTTCTTTTGTTTTAGATGCAGGAGGAGGGGAGGACACGGGAGGAAGAGGGCTGGTTATAATTTGGGAGCTGAAAAAAATAACAGGAGATCTCACTGATGTGTAAAATATTCTTTCTGTAAGAGAAGATGCATATTTTTTAGCAAAGTTCACCTCAACCGTCTTTGTTAAAGCATCACTTCCTGAACTGTGTTTTGTGCAACACTAGAGTTACATTATGCTCTGGAGCAAGAGGTTCCATAGTCAAAGAAAAGAGGTAATAAATAGCCTTGTTGAGATGCAAGTATTAAAGGTTCTGATAAATAGTATAGTTTTTTCTTTTTAAAGCACATTTTACTTTAAGCTAGTATTTCTCAAACATATCTGGCCATAAGACAACCCCAACTCTTTTTTTTTACCTTTTTAAAAATCATACAAATTAGCGACCAGCAGACCATAATTTGGGAAATACTGAGTTATAGTTTAGATCCTATTATAAAATCTTAAATAGACCTCTAATAAAACATTCTAGGAGGCATAAGTAAGATGAAGGTAAATAAATATGACTGGAGACTGAAAGTCTCCAGTGTAGTGTGGGAGAAAATGTGAGGGGCCTCCTCTCCTAACAGAAAGAAACGAAGCAGTCTGTGGAAGAAAGAAATGGTTTTTCCTGTTTCTCAGTTCTCCTTCAAATGAAAAACAGAAGATTAAAAAACAGCATTATCATCAAGAAAAATTCAGAAGTGTAACCCTGAACTCACATAATTGAAGTAACTACACTAACTCAGATAATCTGAATTCCAGACCTCATTCTGTCATTACCAAATCTCATGACCTTCACAGAACAATTTTGTATCACCAAGCTTCTGATTTCTCACACAAAGGTTCCTATTTATCTCAAATTTTAAGACTTTATGAACAGCAAAACGGCAAAGTAGAAAGAATAGGAGCTTTGGCGTCAACTCTACCTAATTTGCAAGATAAAAGACTTTGGGCAATTTACTTAACTTTTCCTTAAGTCCTTCACATCTAAACTAGGGAGATGAATGCCTACCTCAGAGGACTGCGTAACAAGTCTAATGTATGTGGAGCATCTATCTCATGGTGTCTGCTACAGAGGTGCGAGTTCTTAATTGTTGACTGTTCATAGCTGACGTTCAATTCAACTAACATGCAGTTTTAAGTACTAAAGAGGTAAAAACCACTAAAAAGGTGAAAAGCAGTCAGTAAAAATACAACTTCACAGTAAATTATTTGAGTTCACTAACATGCCTAGTCCTTCATTTTATTTTTGCGTGAATAATAACAGTATCTAACATTTAGCAAGAACTGTGTGTCAGATACTTTTCTAAACGCTTTAATGTGTATTAACTTATTTAATCTTTCAACAACCCTTAAAGGTCAGTTACTATCGCTGTATCTCCATTTTTAAGACGAGAAACTAGGGCCACACAAAGAATACTTATACAAGTTTACCCAGCTAGTAAGTGGCAGAGTCAAGCTTTGAACTCACATATTCTGACTCTACTGCCTACAAAACACTGCCCTGTAATGTAGCGTTTTGTGTTCCGTGAGAGCACATGCCATATTCATTGGTAAAGCTCCCAACTTGATCCCAACTAGGGTTTGGTATATCTGGGGAAAAAGAAAAGGAGAAGACAGTTTGAAAAGGTGGAAAAAGATCAGATTTGAAAATACGTCCTCCCTGGATCTCCGTACCTTTCTACTTCTGCAGGATTTATTCCAGAATTCGACACACCCTCTGACACTGAGCCCTGAGAATCCTTCTTGGTAGGTTCCAATCCATTCTTTATGTCATCAAAATTTTCATATTTGAGAGCCTGGACCAGCTGTAAGAGGTACATCAACAAATCCTGGAAAACAAACAAAAAATAAGCTAATACTAGGGGGGAAATGCGGTATGATTATAGACACATTATGTCTAATTATTCCTAAACGTTGGCCAACGGTTTACTTCTATCTACCACGTATCAGCTCCGTACCTTGGGAAGGCCACTAGGTTTTTTAACCTCTTGATGCCTCTCTGGGGCCTCATCTTTAAAATGGTCATAATCATATACATTTCAGAGATTGAGCTGTGAAGATTAAATCAATTAATAGAAGAACGCCACAGAATAGTGCCTGGCACAGAGTAAGGGACTGATAAATGCCTTGTTACAGTGTTATCCCAAAAGCAAGGCAAAAACACAAACACAAAGATGAAAGATCAAGATGGTACATAAGAAACTAAGAAATTAGTGAAAGATCCTTTTTCAGCAATAGATCAGATAATGGTATTTTAGGCACATAAGAAACTCCAAGTTTTCAAGTTTTCAGAGTTTTTGTTTCATAATATTTTCTGACTGGGATTTTTAAAAATATTGCATTTTTTTTTCCTTAGAAGCTTAAGTTTTAGAGAGTTTGGGTTGCTTCTTAAATGGAAAATACTATAAAAATGACATTTTTAACGCTCTTGGTTAAAGGAAATGTTTACTTTCCTGCCAACTATCAATAATGGCTTGAAGAAAACAAATTCCTAAGCGTGAATTTACCATACTTCTACTGACAATCAATGAGATAATTAGGACTAAAATGGTGTCAACAAATTAGCTTTTACTTTTCTGAGTTTTCCCTTAATGTAAAAGACTC